GTGGGTTTTCTGTGTCGAAGCCACCGTTATGGAACCAGAAGGTATCCATGGGATTTTGTGAGTTGAGTAGGGCTGGGGAAAGTTTTTTGGGACAAAAAGCTCGTGTTAAGTGGTTGAATTTAGGGGATCAGAATACTGCTTTCTTCTTCAAGGCTATGAAAAGTCACTATGGCAGGAATAATGTGGTTACTAGATTGGAAGAGCCGCACGAGGTTAGTAAAGTTATTGTTGAATTCTATCAAAATCTCCTTGGACAGCAGCCTAGTGGTGAGAGTCTGGATATGGACTTGTTTCGAAGAGCTCTTCCTAAGAGTATCTCAGCGGGGCAGAATGAAACCCTTGATAGAGATGTGACATTTGAGGAGATTAATGAGGTTTTGTTATCTTTGAAAGACAACAAGGCTCCAGGGCTAGATGGTTTTAATGCAGGTTTCTTCAAGAGGCCTCAGAATATTGTAGGAAATGATGTTCTATGTGCCTTAAGTTTCTTTGACTTGGGGCAACTATTGAAGCAAGTCAATGCTACTACCATCGGATTGGTTCCTAAAGTTCCAAATCCTTCTAAGGTAAATGACTTTAGGCCTATCTCCTGTTGCAATACTATTTATAACTGTGTTGCTAAGCTCATTGCCAATAGAGTCAAGCTGGTGATTCTAGACATTGTTGGACCTCAACAAACTACTTTTGTTAAGGGAGGCATATTAGCGATAATATCCTTCTTTCCCAAGATCTATTACGAAATTATCACCGTTGTGGAGGACTGCCTAGGTGTGCTCTTAAAGTCGATCTCATGAAAGCCTATGATTCTGTTCGTTGGGATTTCTCTTTGCAGTTTTAATGGTGTTTGGTTTTTCGGAGAGGGTTGTTTCGTGGATTACTGAGTGTGTCACTACCACTAAGTTTTCAATTTCTATTAATGGCGAGTTACATGGTTTCTTCGCTGGTGGAAGAGGATTGAGACAGGGAGATCCGTTATCACCATATTTGTTTGTATTGGCAATGGAGGTATTTTCAGGGATAATGGGATTGATGGTTGCAGAGTAGGATTTTAAATACCACTGGAGGTGTAAGAAATGGAAGATCATCCACCTGTGTTTTACTAACGACCTTATGATCTTTTGTAGAGTTGAGGTAGGTTCTGTTTCTCTTATTGGGGAATGCCTTAATCGATTCAAAGCACTTTTCGGTCTTATTCTTAATCCCGATTAGAGTAATTTATTTGCTAGTGGAGTTTCTTCATAGCTTAAGGATTAGTTGCTTGATGTTTTGGGGTATAAGGAGGGAGTTCTACCATTACACTATCTTGGTGTTCCACTTATCTCTACCAAATTGCGGGCTTTGGACTGTAAGATGTTGGTCGATCGTATTATTGCTAGGGCTAAGATGTAAGATGTTGGTTGATCGTATTATTGCTAGGGCTAAGAGTTGGACTTGTCGAGCACTCTCCTATGCGAGAAGGTTACAACTTATTAAGTCCGTGTTATTTTCTATTTAGGTACATTGGTCTTCTGTATTTATTTTACCTAAGGTTGTGATCAAGCAAGTGGAAGCTACTCTACGTGCCTTCTTGTAGAAGGGTTATGACCTTGGCACCGGAGGGACTAAAGTAGCGTGGCAGAAAATTTGTACGCCTAAGAAGGTGGGTGGTTTGGGTTTACGGAGCATAGAGATTTAGAATAAGGTTGCTATGTTACAACACCTTTAGTCCATTTGTATTGATTCTGGCTCTTATCTTTGGGTTTCGTGGGCACGAAGTTACTTATTTAAAGGCTGAAGCATTTGGGAATTGAAGTGTCCTGGGGATTTCTCTTGGAGCTGGAGGAAGATTCTTGCAATTCGGGAGATAGGGAGGGACAAAATGAAATTTATAATTAGTAACGGTAGATGTGCTTCTCTTTGGTTTGATAATTGGCATCCTCTTGGCCCTTTACAGAAGATTCTTGGTGAGAGGATCATTCATGAATCTAGATTGAGTAGATTAGCTAAGGTGGCTGATATTGTTGAGGGTGATAGTTGGAGGTGGCCATCAGCTTGTTCCCCAATGTTGTCTAATCTAATGCGAGATACACTTAATACTTTTCGGCCATATAGTACTAGAGAGAATGTCTTGCTATGGGTGGATGATGTGCATGGAGTCTTCTCTGTTCGGAGTGCTTGGGAGTCTATTTGACTTCATTGTCCTAGGGTGACTTGGTGTCACATTGTATGGTTTCCTAAGTATTTCCCATCATGTATTTATCCTTTGGCTAGCAATTCAGGGTGGCCTTTATACACAAACAAAGCTGTTTCGCTTTGGTTTGGTACAGTCTATACGTTGTGTGTTGTGTGAATGTTCGGAGGGGGACTTGGATCATCTTTTCTTTGCTTCCCCATTTTTTGAGCATGTTTGGCATGCTTTGCATGCAAAATCTAACTTGCCTTGGGTTCAGTGGAGTTGGTCAGATACTCTTTCTTGTTACCCTTTTTCTGAGCGCGGTGGGCATGCTATGCATGCTTAATGTAACCTGCCTTGGGTTCGACGGAGTTGGTCAGTATCTCTTTCTTGGATGGAGCAGTTTCGTAGGAGGTCATTGCGGTCTATTGTTATTCGTTTGATGTTTGCGGCTTCGATTTATGCTATTTGGCGTGAGCTTAATGCTAGGGCCCGTGGTGTGATTCCTAAACATAAATTTGTTATTATTCGAGATATTGTTTTTTCTATTTGTACACGAGTGGATTTATGTAGAGGCTTGGTCCCATCTAGTGAGAATAGATGGCTCCAACGCTCATGGGACTGTGAATATGTTCCAACGCTCATGGGACTGTGAATATTTTCTATTGTCGTGACTAGGTTATAAGCTCTAATCTAGGTTACTGTTTTGGTGATAGGAGGACATATATTCCTAGACTTGTTTTTCTGGGGTATGCCCCAATGATCATGTACTTTATTTTTACACTTTGGATATAATATACTTACCTTATCCAAAAAAAAATAAAAAATAATAGCCATCATAAGCCTCTAACCTCCCATACACCCTCCTTGGTAGGAAGAAAGGTATTTGACTCACGATCTCCCTTGAAGATATGTCATATCAATCAAATTGCAAGTGGCTTACTGTATCACATTATAACTTGCAAAAGGCATCAGTGATTTGGCCTCAACAATCTTGGACTCAGGAGGCCCATCTTCCGGGGCTATATATTAAGTCTCATTTGATTGCCTTGGAAAGAGGACGTGATAAGTCTGTAGTGAATTGCATCACATTAGAGGTTGTTTTCGACGATACTGGGATCTACTCTCAACCTTTAAAATGAAAGTGGATGAGGTAATGGGATGCGACCTCATTGCCTTGGACACGAAGGTAGGAAAGGCTGTCCATGCTCGCCTCACAAATGAAGTGCTTGCATGTAATTTCAATTTTCCAGCAATCATATAGGTAGAGACGATAGTACTCTTCGAGGTCTCAAGTCAATCTAATGGATACATAATTTTGTGGTGCTCTAAACTTTTCTGTTGAAGATTTACTTTTAATTCTCTATAGTGCATTTGAACAGCGTGATAGAATTTCTCAAAAATTGTGCATCAAATACAGAGCATAGCCACTTGTCGCAATTCCAAGTGGTTGATTGCTTAATACACTTGTACCACTAGGTCATAGCGTTTTAAATCCCAATTTTGGATCACGATTATTCTTGTCATTTGTTCGACTGAAACTTTTAGCCTTTCTTAAATTACTCCACGCCATAAGTAATAGTCAGTACCATTCAAGATACGGTCCAAGTCAATCACAAAAGATGATTGTGAATGTCACGTAGGCAAGGAGTGTAACATTAATTCAATACAAAAAGCGAATTATCTTTTCAAACACCAAGAGTAAAATAATCTCAATTCATTTAATCCCTTATTCCTGTTTTCAAAATAGTTATTTCATAAGTAACAGTAATGTGAATACGAAAATAATTTATAAAATTATTACATTAAATAAAGAAAAAATGGCGTAAAGAATATTGTATTTCAAAACTATGGCTACTGTAATGGTAGATTAATGATAAAATTTCGAGGGGTATGCCAGAGAATTCAGACGGATGTACATTTGCCTTGGACCATTGAGGGATGGTTTCGTTAGGGGTTGCAGAAGGGTGATTGAGTTAAATGAAATACAGTATTTTTACGCCATTTTTTCTTTATTTAATATAATAATTTTAAAAATTATTGTCATATTCACATTACTGTTATTTATGGAATAACTATTTTGAAAGCAGGAATGAGGGGTTAAATGGACCTAGACTATTTTACCCTTGGTGTTTGAAAAGAAAATTGGCCTTTTGTATTGGATTGACACAACAACTGACGATAAGTGGATGAAATGACTTTTTGGCAATGAAAAGTGGAAATAAGGGTGAAAATGTCAAATAATGAAAAGAATGAACGTTTTGTACAATAAATATGAAAGGTAGAGACGTTTTGTGCTAATTACCTTAGTTTTTTATATTGAAATAATGGAGCAACTGACGGTAAATGGATGTAATGACTTTTTTGGCAATGAAAGATTTCCAATAAGGGTGTAAATGACAAAATGAAAGGTATGGACATTTTACACAATAATATTGAAAGGTGGGGACGTTTTGTGAGAATTACCCTTAGTGTTTACCTTATACTATATGCATGGAGCTTTGCTGCACAAACAAGAAAAAAAGCACCAGAATTGCAACAGACCACTCACACAAGTGTGGGGCCTGCACATTTTTTTTCTTTTTAGATACATGGTGGGGCTCACATTTGTCTCTATTCTGGTGCAATTCTGGTTTTTTTTCTGTAAAAATACTTTTTCTCATATACATTATGTTGTAGCCTTGAACCACAAATATGTAGCGAAGTCCTTAACCTTAGGAACAACAATCTCTTGACTTCTCTCTCTCTCTGGTCCAAATTTTATCAGGGAGGATGAAGGAGGGCCTCTCTTTCTTCCTCCTCTTTTGGTGGTTCTTCATCTCTGGAGATTGGAAGATCATCCTCAACAATGAGTGCACCTCCCTATGTCATGCTTGAGGGAAGCAGCGGAAACAATTTCCGGCCTCCCCCTTATGGGCGGAATGTCCCTCGATACCATTCCGACTACCACAAGAGATCAGACGGTAGAAGTTGCTATAGGTGCATTTGCTGGTGTTATTGCTGCCTATTCTTCCTCATCGTCATTTTGGCCCTTCTCGTTGTCTATTTCTATGCAGCATACGAGCCCCAAATGCCTTCCTACAAGGTAGAAAAACTCGAGGTTAAGGCCTTTGATGTTCAGCCAGATTTCAGTCTCAAAACGGAATTTCTTGTCACTGTCAAAGCAGACAACCCAAACAGCAATATTGGATTCATATACGGAAAGGATAGCTCGGTTATTGTCATGTACACAGATTCAAATCTTTGCACAGGAAAACTGCCAGATTTCCATCAGGGTGAAAAGAACACAACCACAATGAAGGTTGATTTGAAAGGGAAAAGTGAGTTTGGATCAGGTCTCCAGGAGGCTTATACAGCAAATAGAGACAACAAGAGGATTCCATTGCTTGTCAAGGTGAAGGTACCTGTAAGCGTGGTGGTGGGAAAGTTTCCGACGAGGCAATTTGTAGTTTTTGTCAATTGTTCTTTGCTTGTAGATAACCTGGTGCCCAACAAGAAAATCAGTATCATATCAAGCAACACCACTTTTGATCTTAAATTCTGAGTTAATTAATTTCAAGGATCTTAAGGAACTATGGTTGTATTCTTTTTCTTTCTTTCACAGAGATGTAACATTTAGTTCCTTCATGAATAGCGGATAAAGAATCAGATAAAGCATCTGTTTCTTATGGTACATAGCGAACAAATCACAACTTTTCCTTTTATTCTTGGATTATATATGTATTGGCTTCTCCTCGAAGCATGTATATTACGGGGATAAAAAAAAAGAACTGTAACAGTATATGTAAGATTAGGCTTCTTCCGAGTTTTACAATGATTCTATTTTCAAGATTATTCATTCTGTTGTATGCATGTGCAAGCATTTAGGATAATTAGTGGGTTTGATAGCATTCTTCATCAACAAGCAGAGGCCGAGTTTGCTTGAAACCACAGGGGAATTTAACCCTACTTGGTGGAAAATTGGTGGATTTTGATTAAAGAAATTGATGGTATTGTTTAATAGTATGACAAAGAAAAAATTGAGTTTGAAGGTAGCTCTAGTTTTTAAGCAAGGGTTTTGAGTTTCTGGCCTCGTATAACACGGGTAAAATTTTATGCTAAATACTTGGCAAAACTTTTGCTTGGTAGGCAATGGATTTTCTTCAACCAGTTAGCCAGCAACACTCAATTTTCACTAAGGTAAAACTCAGCGACAAGAGAACGAAAGGGATGTTAAAGCAGTAAACAACACAACACGTATGTGTTATTACCCACCTTTTGTTTGCCAAATGAAAGAACACACTTTACAAAGAATTAGGATCACAATAATGCACTCAATGCTTTGGGTCTAATAGCCTAAAGTACATAAAATTCGTTCAGTTGACACCTCAACTATTAGAAATAGCATTTTGAATTTTTCCCTCCGAGGAAACTTGCTGAAAACCGCTCACATCCAAGATAACCTCGGGCGTGCTTTAAAACCACCTGCACATGTCTAATTTCTGCCATGTTACCAGACCATGAAATAGCTACCAAGTGAAGACAGCTAGCTGGAAATTCTCCCCATTTCCTGCATTGTGTGAATTTCGGGTCTGTATGCTACATTTTTGCCAGGCTGCATTACATGTTGGGCCACCTATGCCATTCTTTCGTCCATCCAGCACCAAACCAATTCTCATCCACATGCCCACATATTTTTCTGAATTGCACCGACGTCCAAGAAATGCACCCATCAAAGCACATTTCATCAAGGCTGCAGCGTGGAGCAAGGCACTGCTCATTCCTTATCCATTTCAGCCATCAAGGGGCTAATAAATAGCCCTGATCAGATGAGTTTGAAGCCTTCGTTGAATTAGCATGCAAATTGTTGACCTCATTTTTTATAAGGGTGACGTGGACAACAAATGTGAGGCCCACTCGTATCCACACAAGCACATTCCAACACGTTTTTACCGGGGACTTGGTCAGAGAAGAATACTGTATATGGATGTGGGAGGTGCTCTATGATGCGAGACAAAAATGTTTAGACACCAACAATATATTTAAAGATGATTGCATATTAATAATCAATCACAAACAACTCAATGAAAACAAGATAATCTAAATTCAAGTAAACAAGACTATGCAAGAGAGAAGATTGAGAATAACTCTAAGTGTAAAGAGTTGCATTAGTTTAAAAGTGTTAAAAGAATTGATATTTATAGTGTTACAATCGTAGCCTTGACCATTGGATCATGCAGACATGGCTTCATCGGACCCACTAGGATGTCTTATCGTAGCTGTCCCATCATCCACTTGCCATACGTTGCACTTGAGTGAGCGGGGAAGACGGGCCGCCCTTTGGAGTGTGTCAGTGTACATAATTTATTAGGTTGACATGACTTAATTGTGTTGTAGATGACTATTCGCCACATACCATGATCTTCTTGGGAACCGCTCCTAATCCGAAACCCTTTGGAGGGTAGGATGGAGGGATTCGGCTATTGAGTGTGCTTCAGTCTATTGATTTTGGTCAACCTGTCTTTCCTTTTGACCTATGCCTCCACGTGGTTGCCACATATGTTTGGACTAGAGCCTCAGTTGCAAGGCATTACAATAGTCCCCAAATCCAAGTATGATTATTTATATAATTTGTGGACTTCGTTTGAAAATATTATTCAATTGGGTTGACCCTCTTCTCGCAATGGTTGATTTCTCTTATTGTGTTTTATTCACCCAACACAATAGTTTCCCAAGTCCAAGTATGAATATTTATGTAAGAGCTACTGAGGTCCTTTTGGCTGAAGCTGTCTATTTTGAAAAAGAAAATTTGAAGGAACAGTTGAGATTCTTTTGGCCGAAGCTATCTACTTATGGAAAAATGAAATTTTGAAAGAGCATCTGAGGTCCTTTTGGTCGAGGCTGTCTACCTCAAAGAAATTTTGAATGGCCTCAACTGCCTACGTTGGAGTTGAAATGGAGTGTTTCCGCTATTTCCTGAGGCTATAATGTGTTGACTCTAAAGTTGTATATTTTTGAAACATTGCGAAAAAGAAGCGTCCTCAACCAAATGATTTGTTGTCTTATACGTTTCAAGAAAAGACAATTGAAACGGTTCAAATTTCAAGCAATCGTCACCATATTTAATAAGCAATGATGAATGTTGTAGGCGTGTTCTTGGGAGGGAGATGCTTACACGTGCGTAAACCAAATCCTCTGATCTAAATCGTTGAACACGAAACTACAGACATAGTGGGTAGCTCAAATTGACTTTTAAATGAGCAGTAAGATGCTTCAAATCAAGATCCAATGGTTGACATTGAGGACCCTTGCCTATAAAAGGCCAAATCTTGAATAAACAATTTCTCTACTTTTCCAAAAAGAAATCAAGCTCCCATAAAATCTCAAATTCTCTGTGATTTCTGTTGACCTCGAAAAGTGACCCAAACACATGGCCAACAAGATATAACTTAACGTCTCCTTCCTGCAAGTGGTAACACACCTTTAGTCACTTGTGGCCTTTTCTGGTGAGGGTGAAAGCGACCGCGAGCACTCGACGATCAAGGTAGTGAGTTGGTAAACCGGAGTTGGGATGTCTGGTGGTGGTGTGGACAAGGATAATGTAAAAAGCTAATGTTATCTTTTCTCGAGGGACTGAGAGCTCTCCTTTCCCATAGTGCAAGTGTGGGTATATATTATGAAAAAAGGTGAGAGGAGAACCGTTGGATGTAGAGCACGTGGCTTCGAATTTTGGATGGGTCATCCTTTCATAGGCGTCAATCCTTCAATCCATAGGTAGACGGGTATTTAATGCTTCTTGACTCAATAATGCGTGACTTGACATTTTGGAGTCTGCACACATCAATCAGTCTAAGGATTTGATTTTTGAGATCTTTACATAAAAGATCTCCTAGTACATATGGTTGAAGTAGAGTAGTTTATGGCAGGAATGGTAGTCGCGTTCTGGGTATCTTATTGACTCATCACTTCAAAATTCATTTCAGTTAGTCTTATTGGTTAGTCCGTTTGAGGTGTGACAAGTAATGCAGAGTGCAGGCTTTAGCATCTATCACACATTGGAAGCATCTAGTTCGTCTACCATGTGGAGGATGAATTCAGTTCGTCCAGTTTGTCAGCCACATGGCAGATGAATTCACTTCATCTATAGTTATCCAACACATGGTGGATGAAGTCACGGATGATGTGGAGGCCTTTAATAATTTCCTCAAACATGTAGAACTTTTTCGGCTTTCTTTAAGAACTCCGGCAACTTACGTTTTGTCGTTTGATTTCGTAACTATTTTTTGACCAATATTTTCTTTGATTTTGAATTTCATGGCTTCTTCATCTTCTGATGGGGGAATATAGACATTAGGACATTAGCTTCAGAGATGGGGTAACCATAACTAATACTACTGACCTTGTGCATACCATTATGGCAGGTCAGAGTGGTTTATCCATAAGGAATGGTCATTTGGATTATGACGCTTGGGGATAGACAAAATTCTTTCTAACCTAGCTATTGCCGATCAGTAGATATTAGGGAGAAGTATTGTATCCTTTATACTATAGAGCTCTAAGTACCATCTCCTGACGAATGAGCCTATTTTCCAAGGCAGGGATGCGTAGTAGTTAGTGAGTTTCTTCTGAAGGGAACACTTTATCTATCCCTTCTTCCATTCTTTAGAGCTGTCCTTAGGTCATATGGGCTAGCACCTTTCTAACTCGTCCCTAATCCCTGTGCCCAGCTATTAGGACATACTTTCTGTGGAAGAAGACTTTATTGGGCTAGGACATGCCCCCCCCCAAATCTTTCATTCCATTTTCCAGCCTAGGGTCTTAGGAAATGGGGACTCCTAGGGCTAGTATTCTCTTTGTTGATAGGAAACATTCCATTTCTATAATAGACCTTCCCTCATCCATCAAAGGATATAAAGAGATATGGTTCTGGGTGAGGGTATAATGGCATACATGTGAGGGTGACAAGGTCCCATACGTGACAATTCTGACCACATACTCCGAAGCTCTTGAGTGCTTCATCATTAGGTATTTGTTTTTTATAATTGAATTGATTCTGACCTTGTATATATTATAGGATCGGTAGATCACTTCGAACTGAACCAAGTGGAATTGGGTGTTATAGAGGACATCTATCTTTGTCCTCTGTCTTCCCGTTCGTTTGATCCCGACCAGAATATTTTTTGAGGAGTTCGGACTATTGCCTTGAAAATTTAAAGCTTAGAAAAGTTCTTACTGTTTGTAGAGGGTAGTTCATACTGAACCTCTATGTTTTTATTTTGTTCGAAGAAAATTTCGAGAAGACGAAGTACCCATCCCCTAATATGGCTCCCATCCTGGCTACAACCTCCACAACTTGGAAGAAGAGGTTCAAGCCCTCATCTGCTATGGCCAAGCAGGTGAGGGACCAAGTAGAAAAATTTAGAAAGGAGGCTACAAGTCATAAGGGTGAGGCACAACCCTCTTGAAGGATAAGGGGAAAAGTAAGGTGGAAGAGGTCCCCAAGAGGAAACCTACGTTCTTTTTTACCCGAAAATGGGGGTAACAATTAATAACACCATCCATTAC